CAGTGAGGAAGCTAATGATGATGATCATGAAACTTCAGAACAAGATACTACTGAACCTCGTAGATCAACCAGAGTAAGATCCGCACCAGAGTGGTACGGTAATCCTATTCTGGAAGTCATGTTATTAGATCATGATGAACCTACGAACTATGAAGAAGCGATGGTGAGCCCAGCTTCCGCAAAGTGGCTTGAAGCCATGAAATCTGAGATGGGATCCATGTATGAGAACAAAGTATGGACTTTGGTTGACTTGCCCGATGATCGGCAAGCAATTGAGAATAAATGGATCTTCAAGAAAAAGACTGATGCTGACGGTAATATTACTGTCTACAAAGCTCGATTTGTCGCAAAAGGTTTTCGGCAAGTTCAAGGGATTGACTACGATGAGACCTTCTCACTCGTAGCGATGCTTAAGTCTGTCCGAATCATGTTAGCAATTGCCACATTTTATGATTATGAAATTTGGCAGATGGATGTCAAAACTGCATTCCTGAATGGATTTCTGGAAGAAGAGTTGTATATGATGCAACCAGAAGGTTTTGTCGATCCAAAGGGAGCTAACAAAGTGTGCAAGCTCCAGCGATCCATTTATGGACTGGTGCAAGCCTCTCGGAGTTGGAATAAACGTTTTGATAGAGTGATCAAAGCATTTGGTTTTATACAGACTTTTGGAGAAGCCTGTATTTACAAGAAAGTGAGTGGGAGCTCTGTAGCATTTCTGATATTATATGTGGATGACATATTGTTGATTGGAAATGATATAGAATTTCTGGATAGCATAAAAGGATACTTGAATAAGATTTTTTTCACTGAAAGACCTCGGTGAAGCTGCTTACATATTAGGCATTAAGATCTATAGAGATAGATCAAGACGCTTAATTGGACTTTCACAAAGAACATACCTTGACAAAATTTTGAAGAAGTTCAAAATGGATCAAGCAAAGAAAGGATTCTCGCCTGTGTTACAAGGTGTGAAATTGAGTAAGACTCAATGCCCGACCACTGCAGAAGATAGAGAGAAGATGAAAGATGTTCCCTATGCATCAGCAATAGGATCTATCATGTATGCAATGCTATGTACCAGACCTGATGTGTGCCTTGCTATAAGTCTAGCAGAGAGGTACCAAAGTAATCCAGGAGTGGATCACTGGACAGCGGTCAAGAACATCCTAAAATACCTGAAAAGGACTAAGGATATGCTTCTCGTATATGGAGGTGACAAAGAGCTCATCGTAAAAGGTTACGTTGATGCAAGCTTTGACATTGATACGGACGATTCTAAATCGCAAACAGGATACGTGTTTACATTAAACGGTGGAGCTGTCAGTTGGTGCAGTTCTAAACAAAGCGTCATAGCAGGATCTACATGTGAAGCGGAGTACATAGCTGCTTCGGAAGCAGCGAACGAAGGAGTCTGGATGAAGGAGTTCATATCCGATCTAGGTGTCATACCTAGTGCATCGGGTCCAATGAAAATCTTTTGTGACAATACTGGTGCAATTGCCTTGGCAAAGGAATCCAGATTTCACAAGAGAACCAAGCACATCAAGAGACGCTTCAATTCCATCCGGGATCTAGTCCGGGTGGGAGACATAGAGATTTGCAAGATACATACGGATCTGAATGTTGCAGACCCGTTGACTAAGCCTCTTCCACAAGCAAAACATGATCAGCACCAAAGCTCCATGGGTGTTAGAATCATTACAGTGTAATCTAGATTATTGACTCTAGTGCAAGTGGGAGACTGAAGGAAATATGCCCTAGAGGCAATAATAAAGTTATTATTTATTTCCTTATATCATGATAAATGTTTATTATTCATGCTAGAATTGTATTAACCGGAAACATAATACATGTGTGAATACATAGACAAACAGAGTGTCACTAGTATGCCTCTACACTAGCTCGTTAATCAAAGATGGTTATGTTTCCTAACCATGAACAAAGAGTTGTTATTTGATTAACGAGGTCACATCATTAGTTGAATGATCTGATTGACATGACCCATTCCATTAGCTTAGCACCCGATCGTTTAGTATGTTGCTATTGCTTTCTTCATGACTTATACATGTTCCTATGACTATGAGATTATGCAACTCCCGTTTGCCGGAGGAACACTTTGGGTGCTACCAAATGTCACAACGTAACTGGGTGATTATAAAGGAGCATTACAGGTGTCTCCAAAGGTAGATGTTGGGTTGGCGTATTTCGAGATTAGGATTTGTCACTCCGATTGTCGAAGAGGTATCTCTGGGCCCTCTCGGTAATGCACATCACTTAAGCCTTGCAAGCATTACAACTAAATGAGTTAGTTGCGGGATGATGTATTACAGAACGAGTAAAGAGACTTGCCGGTAACGAGATTGAACTAGGTATTGGAATACCGACGATCGAATCTCGAGCAAGTAACATACCGATGACAAAGGGAACAACGTATGTTGTTATGCTTCTGACCGATAAAGATCTTCATAGAATATGTAGGAGCCAATATGGGCATCCAGGTCCCGCTATTGGTTATTGACCGGAGACGTGTCTCGGTCATGTCTACATTGTTCTCGAACCCGTAGGGTCCGCACGCTTAAGGTTTCGATGACAGTTATATTATGAGTTTATGCATTTTGATATACCGAAGGTTGTTCGGAGTCCCGGATGTGATCACGGACATGACGAGGAGTATCGAAATGGTCGAGACATAAAGATTGATATATTGGAAGCCTATGTTTGGATATCGGAAGTGTTCCGGGTGAAATCGGGATTTTATCGGAGTACCGGGAGGTTACCGGAACCCCCCGGGAACCATATGGGCCTTGATGGGCCTTAGTGGAAAGGAGAAAGGGGCAGCCCAAGGTGGCCGCGTGCCTCCCCCCTTCCCCTAGTCCTATTAGGACTAGGAGAGGTGGCCGGCCCCCCTCTCTCTCTTTCCCCCCCTCAAGGACTCCTATTCCAACTAGGATTGGGGGGGAATCCTACTCCCAGAGGGAGTAGGACTCTCCTGGCGCGCCTCCTATGGCCGGCCAGCCTCCCCCCTCTAGTCCTTTATATACTGAGGCAGAGGCACCCCAGAAAGACAGAAGTTGATCCACGTGATCTATTCCTTAGCCGTGTGCGGTGCCCCCTGCCACCACAGTCCTCGATAATACTGTAGCGGAGTTTAGGCGAAGCCCTGCTGCTGTAGTACATCAAGATCGTCACCACGCCGTCATGCTGACGGAACTCTTCCCCGACACTTTGCTGGATCGGAGTCCGGGGATTGTCATCGAGCTGAACATGTGCTCGAACTCGGAGGTGCGGTAGTTTCGGTGCTTGATCGGTTGGATCATGAAGACGTACGACTACTTCCTCTACATTGTGTCATCGCTTCCGCAGTCGGTCTGCGTGGGTACGTAGACAACACTCTCCCCTCTCGTTGCGATGCATCACATGATCTTGCGTGTGCGTAGGAAATTTTTTGAAATTACTACGAAACCCAACACCAACTTGAGACCAGGACGGACCAAGGAGTGAGGGGCTACGTGGTCAGTTAGGCTCTAGAGTCACGATGCTCAGGAGTCCCCCTTGACGTTCAAATGACCTTCATACCTTAGCTCCGCTTGGGAGGCTAGACACTGAGCTTGGAGGCTCCATGAGGTTGATACGGCCGTGAGGCCGCCATTAGTTGTTTATCACTAGGACGGACCATGGTGCTTCCGCACTTGCACGGGTATAGCCGCTCCTCGGTATTGTCAACTGCCAGCATGGAGCATGGTTCTTCCACTGGTATGTGGGAGGGGACACCCTACCGCGGAGAGCCCCCTGGGCGTGTACAACCCCGCCCTAACATGTGGCTTGCACAAAAGGGCTAGACAAGGTGTGTCTGGGCACTCGTGAGCCAGCGCAGGACTCACAAGGACCTACCTCAAGGCGGGTTGCGCCTGGTCTTGATTCCTGTTCGCTATCTTGGTCCTGCGAGGTGGTTAGACAACCTGCGCTGAACGAACCTCCTAAGGTTATCGCGTGACAAATCCAAGCACCAACGGCCCCAGGAGGTGATGTGAACGGGGCCGGCCCACCAGACAGAGCTCGGTCGTTGGATTTATAGACACTGCAGGGACGGGCCCAAGCACAGACGCCGTGCCTATTAGAACTAATCTTGATGTTTTGTATCTGCATATTTGCTTTAAATTTTGCATATAGTGTAGATGGTCTAGAGTAGCTAGTCCGGTGTTGCTTTGACAAAGGCGTGGCAAGAAGAAGATATGCCGAACAGCCGTGCGATGCGGCGAGCACGGCGAGATGCCGATGGCAGTGTGAAGCTACAGTGTTGCGTGAGGCAGCAAAGTCATGTGATGCGACAAGCGCATGGGCCGCAAAGCGAACCGGCTAGCTGAATGGATTAGTTAGATGCATGCAAGTGGTTAGCCAACTTCGTGGGTAAGTAGTGGCCTATATAGGTTGTTAGCTGGTCAAGGGGTGTGCATGTAGTTAGTTGTTGATTACTTTGCATGCATAAGTTAGTTAGCGCACAAGTTGTGAAGCCACCGATCGTGCAGATCCTGGAGCGATTCTAGGTGAGAGAGAGGGGGTCATGTGTGAGTATGTGACTTAATGGCCTAGCTGTGTTTAGTGCATGCGTGAGTCACTTGTGTATATATATGTCATATTCAGTAATGAGAAGGGAGGCCGTGAGGGCTGAGCACCAAAGATGTAGCCAATGTATTCATCAAGGAGAGAGCGCCCTGGCAAAGCTAGAGGCTTGTCTTCTCCTTGGGGTGTGTGTGTGTGTGTGTGTTGAGTTCTTCTCACCAGTGTGAGTTCTTGTGTGAGACAAAACCATGAGAGGGAGATATGTGAGGAAGAAGAGGCGGCGCTGCGAGGAGGTTGCGCCAACAATTGGTACCAGAGCCTTGTCGATCCACAGCAACGGCGGCGCGGTGGACTCCATGCAAGGTGGAGGTCGACGGTGCAAGGTGGACACCATTGGCGGCATGATGCCGCCGGCGGCCGGTTGCGGTGCGATGCCGCTAGGAGGTCGGTGGCGGTGCAATGCCGCTAGGAGGTCGGTGGCGGTGCGAGGCCGCTAGTGGCTTTGACGGCGCGAAGCTGTTCTGAAAAGACGACGTGGCGATCGGCGTCGCTAAGGCGTCGTCCACGTCAAGAGGTGGTCGCCGGGTGCGGCAAGAGGACGTGGTAATGGGCGCTATGACGCCATCGACCACGATAAGGTGGTGCGTGGTTGTGACCACCGCTGTGATGGCGTCGTCCACAACAAGATGGAGTGCGGTGGTCTGCGGCGCTACGATGGCGTCGACAAGAAGCTGTGGGTGATCCGCGTCGAAGACTGACATCAAGATTAGGAGGGTGAATATTAGAACTAATCTTGATGTTTTGTATCTGCATATTTGTTTTAAGTTTTGCATATAGTGTAGATGGTCTAGAGTAGCTAGTCCGGTGTTGCTTCGACAAAGGCATGGCAAGAAGGAGATATGCCGAACTGCCGTGCGATGCGGCGAGCACGGCGAGATGCCGATGGCAGTGTGAAGCTGCAGTGTTGCGTGAGGCAGCAAAGTCGTGTGATGCGACAAGCGCATGGGCCACAAAGCGAACCGGCTGGCCGAATGGATTAGTTAGATGCATGCAAGTGGTTAGCCAACTTCGTGGGTAAGTAGTGGCCGCATAGAGGTTGTTATCTGGTCAAGGGGTGTGCATGTAGTTAGCTGTTGATTACTTTGCATGCATAAGTTCGTTAGCGCACAAGTTGTGAAGCCACCGATCGTGCAGATCCTGGAGTGATTCTAGGTGAGAGAGAGGGGGTCATGTGTGAGTATGTGACTTAGTGGCCTGGCTGTGCTTAGTGCCTGCGTGAGTCACTTGTGTATATATATGTCATATTCAGTAATGAGAAGGGAGGCCGTGCGGGCTAAGCACCAAAGATGTAGCCAATGTATTCATCAAGGAGAGAGCGCCCTAGCAAAGCTAGAGGCTTGTCTTCTCCTTGGGGTGTGTGTGTGTGTTGAGTTCTTCTCACCAGTGTGAGTTCTTGTGTGAGACAAAACCATGAGAGGGAGATATTGTGAGGAAGAAGAGGCGGCGCTGCGAGGAGGCTGCGCCAACAATTGGTACCAGAGCCTTGTCGATCCACAACAACGGTGGCGCGATGGACTCCATGCGAGGTGGAGGTCGACGGTGCAAGGTGGACACCATTGGCGGCGTGATGCCGCCGGCGGCCGGTTGCGGTGCGATGCCGCTAGGAGGTCGGTGGCGGTGCAATGCCGCTAGGAGGTCGGTGGTGGTGCGAGGCCGCTAGTGGCTTTGACGGCGCGAAGCTGTTGTGAAAAGACGACGTGGCGATCAGCGTCGCTAAGGCGTCGTCCACGTCAAGAGGTGGTCGCCGGGTGCGGCAAGAGGACGTGGTAATGGGCGCTATGACGCCATCGACCACGATAAGGTGGTGCGTGGTTGTGACCACCGCCATGATGGTGTCGTCCACAACAAGATGGAGTGCGGTGGTCTGCGGCGCTACGATGGCGTCGACAAGAAGCTGTGGGTGATCCGCGTCGAAGACTGACATCAAGATTAGGAGGGTGAATATTAGAACTAATCTTGATGTTTTGTATCTGCATATTTGTTTTAAGTTTTGCATATAGTGTAGATGGTCTAGAGTAGCTAGTCCGGTGTTGCTTCGACAAAGGCATGGCAAGAAGGAGATATGACGAAATGTCGTGCGATGCGGCGAGCACGGCGAGATGCCGATGGCAGTGTGAAGCTGCAGTGTTGCGTGAGGCAGCAAAGTCGTGTGATGCGATAAGCGCATGGGCCACAAAGCGAACCGGCTGGCCGAATGGATTAGTTAGATGCATGCAAGTGGTTAGCCAACTTCGTGGGTAAGTAGTGGCCGCATAGAGGTTGTTATCTGGTCAAGGGGTGTGCATGTAGTTAGCTGTTGATTACTTTGCATGCATAAGTTAGTTAGCGCACAAGTTGTGAAGCCACCGATCGTGCAGATCCTGGAGTGATTCTAGGTGAGAGAGAGGGGGTCATGTGTGAGTATGTGACTTAGTGGCCTGGCTGTGCTTAGTGCCTGCGTGAGTCACTTGTGTATATATATGTCATATTCAGTAATGAGAAGGGAGGCCGTGAGGGCTGAGCACCAAAGATGTAGCCAATGTATTCATCAAGGAGAGAGCGCCCTGGCAAAGCTAGAGGCTTGTCTTCTCCTTGGGGTGTGTGTGTGTGTGTTGAGTTCTTCTCACCAGTGTGAGTTCTTGTGTGAGACAAAACCATGAGAGGGAGATATTGTGAGGAAGAAGAGGCGGCGCTGCGAGGAGGCTGCGCCAACAATTGGTACCAGAGCCTTGTCGATCCACAGCAATGGTGGCGCGGTGGACTCCATGCGAGGTGGAGGTCGACGGTGCAAGGTGGACACCATTGGCGGCGTGATGCCGCCGGCGGCCGGTTGCGGTGCGATGCCGCTAGGAGGTCGGTGGCGGTGCAATGCCGCTAGGAGGTCGGTGGCGGTGCGAGGCCGCTAGTGGCTTTGACGGCGCGAAGCTGTTGTGAAAAGACGACGTGGCGATCGGCGTCGCTAAGGCGTCGTCCACGTCAAGAGGTGGTCGCCGGGTGCGGCAAGAGGACGTGGTAATGGGCGCTATGACGCCATCGACCACGATAAAGTGGTGCGTGGTTGTGACCACCGCTGTGATGGCGTCGTCCACAACAAGATGGAGTGCGGTGGTCTGCGGCGCTACGATGGCGTCGACAAGAAGCTGTGGGTGATCCGCGTCGAAGACTGACATCAAGATTAGGAGGGTGAATATTAGAACTAATCTTGATGTTTTGTATCTCCATATTTGTTTTAAGTTTTGCATATAGTGTAGATGGTCGAGAGTAGCTAGTCCGGTGTTGCTTCGACAAAGGCATGGCAAGAAGGAGATATGCCGAACTGCCGTGCGATGCGGCGAGCACGACGAGATGTCGATGGCAGTGTAAAGCTGCAGTGTTGCGTGAGGCAGCAAAGTCGTGTGATGCGACAAGCGCATGGGCCGCAAAGCGAACCGGCTGGCCGAATGGATTAGTTAGATGCATGCAAGTGGTTAGCCAACTTCGTGGGTAAGTAGTGGCCGCATAGAGGTTGTTATCTGGTCAAGGGGTGTGCATGTAGTTAGCTGTTGATTACTTTGCATGCATAAGTTAGTTAGCGCACAAGTTGTGAAGCCACCGATCGTGCAGATCCTGGAGTGATTCTAGGTGAGAGAGAGGGGGTCATGTGTGAGTATGTGACTTAGTGGCCTGGCTGTGCTTAGTGCCTGCGTGAGTCACTTGTGTATATATATGTCATATTCAGTAATGAGAAGGGAGGCCGTGAGGGCTGAGCACCAAAGATGTAGCCAATGTATTCATCAAGGAGAGAGCGCCCTGGCAAAGCTAGAGGCTTGTCTTCTCCTTGGGGTGTGTGTGTGTGTGTTGAGTTCTTCTCACCAGTGTGAGTTCTTGTGTGAGACAAAACCATGAGAGGGAGATATTGTGAGGAAGAAGAGGCGGCGCTGCAAGGAGGCTGCGCCAACAGTGCCTAATCCTCTCACGCGAAGGGTCCTGAAGAAAGCCGGCCGGCGCGCGGCTCCCATGATGGGCGATAATCAAGCAGGTGATAGTCATAGATAGATTAAGCATGAAAGGCAACCTAGCTTAGGTAAATGCATAAACGATATGCGCCACTAGTCCGGCCTGAGCGGCTTGGGGATGATGCAGCCCGAGGGGTGCCCCGAGCAAGGTAAGCTAAAGACATAAACAAGGAAAGATACATGCCACATGGACGAACCCACGCGGCCTGGGAATAATGCAGCCCCCCGGGTGCTCCCAGCTAAATGAACTTAAGAAACGTCACCTGGTTCTGTTGATGAAGGGGTGTTGAGGCAGCTGAAGGTATGCGGCGAAGGGGTTGTCCCTCACGAACCACCGGGGCCCTGAGCTTCGGGAGGCTCTAGGGGTCCCGACGGTTCCTTGAGGACCGTCTCCATCTCCACCAGGACTGCGTGGTGCCTGGCCTCCTGACCTGCCATGACGCTCCGTAGGTTGTGCTTGAAGGCAGCGGCCACGCTCGACAGGCCGAACGGCATGCGAACATAGCTGTGATGTGGACCTTCGCAGCGCCCGACACGCGAAGGCCAGAAGCGCCCCTGAGATGCGACTCGGTTGAGCCCTGGTATGTCGATGCAGACGCATAGCTCACCACCCTCGCCTGGGTGGGGAGCAGTGCCAGGTGGGCGGCGGTCGTCGCGCATTGCTCTTGCTTCCTGAAGCTCCTGAGATACCTTGGTGATGAACTCCTGAGCACCAGGCGCTCCTTGCCCAGTGTCCTCCTGAAGGAGACGTGCCATGAAACACGCCTTCACGTGGTGCCCGAGCGCCTCCCTCGTGACGTTGGCGTGGTCTGAGGCCCTCCAGAAGAGAGCCCCCGAGCCCTGCCCAAGGAGGGCACCGGGCACACCTTCCTATGCGATAGAGGGAGGCGCCCCAGGCGCGGGCGCTGATCCTGACAAGGTGCCACCCGTGGCACTGCCCTCCCGAGGTCCGGCACGGAGTTGCTGCTTCTTCTTGGGGACGACCTCCGGAGGGTACCGAGTTTCATTGTGGTCGGGGTCTTTGAGTGATGCTTCTTGGAAGGCGCGCTCGAGGGAGCACACCGCATCTCTTTCTTCGCAGGGGAATGTGATGATCCCACCGCTTCCTGGCATCTTGAGGATGTTGTAGCTGTGGTGCGTCATGGCCATGAACTTGGCCAGGGCCGGATACCCGAGGATGGCATTGTATGGCAGATGGATGTGGGCGACGTCGAAGTCGATGAGCTCGGTGCGCTAGTTGTTGCGCTGTCCAAAGGTGACCGGGAGGTGGACCTGACCGATCGGCGTGGTGGAGCCGTCGGTCACTCCTGAGAAAGGCTTGGTGGGCTGAAGCTGATCATACGACACTTGGAGGCTGTTGAACGTCTCGATGGACAGGACGTTGAGCCCTGCACCACCATTGATGAGGGTCTTGGTGACTTGCACTTTGGTGATGACGGGTGAGCAAAGCATCGGGAGGACGCCGGCAGTAGCCGCGCACTTGAGCTGATCTGCTGAGCTGAATGTGATGGCACACTGGGACCACCTGAGCGGGCGCGTGGCCTCGAGCTTGGGGAGGACCGCATTCACCTTGCGAGCAAACTGCTTGAAGATACACTATGAGGCTGGGGCTTGAGCTCCGCCCAAGATGCAGGCGATGGCACGCGGCTCCTGGAAGCCCCCAGCCCCCTCGTCTTGGTGGTTGTCGTAATTGCTTCTTGGTGGTGGCAGTAGTGGAGGAAGACCGGCGTTGCCCTGAGAGCGATCCTCACGAGGCTGATCCCTCCAGGCGCCCTCGCGAGGTTGATCCTGCCAGTGGTCCTCACGAGGCCGGTCGCGCCACTCCTAGCACGGGCCACAGTCATCCCAGCGTCCGCCACCACGTCCTCCTCCTCGGTCGTAGCCCCGGTCATTGCGCTCGAGGCGTCGACTGAAGAGTCCTTCTCGAATGGCTTTGAGCTCTTGATAGTCGCTGGTGTTGTGGCTATGCA